AGCCTTATGGGATGATATATGAAAGTACCAAGGTTTTTTTCTGTATATATGTATTTTACATTTACTTTGCCTGACAAAACAAAATGCTGAAGTCTCTGTACTGCTCTCCCAAGACAACAAATGGTTGCTATTATTTTCTTTCAGAGTCCTTTATCAGCCCCCTGAGACATATTTAAATCTTTGCTATGCTTTATTTTCAATTGATGAGCGATGAGTTTGTCTCTTGTTACAATTCTGCAACGTAAGATAAGATGTTTGTACATTTGCATTTATATGCTTATTTTGATCCAATACTGTTTACACTTCTTGCGCTGCACATACAGCATTTTAGAAGACAACAAACTTGATATTAATTTGTTTAAATTTCCAAGAAAAAAAACACACAAAAAAGTGGAAGGCCCTGTTTTCACCTGGCATTAGAATGTGTCTCCACATGCGTCTCGAGTGACCACATGTAATCAGATCTCACTTCTGCTGCTGCTCTGTGTGTAGCTAGTGGTCCTTTTATTTTGAAAGCTTAAATAAAACTGTGTTAGCTCTATTAAACCAGAGTGTTCTGTTATGTGGCTATATGCTGTCAAGGGTCCCAAGGCCAAAGTTATGCAGCACAATACATGCTTAGATGCTGTATATGCAAACAAACAACAGGCTGAAATCATCACTACAAGTTATTTGAACAAGAGGCTAAAACACATCTTACTACACAGTCCACACAGCCCATTTTCAAAATAAAAGTACAAATGGTGTGTTATGAAGCTACTAGTCCATTAATACTGAAGGACAGCCCTACCTGTGGCAGTATAAACAACAGCTATTCACCTCATGTAAACATAAAATAACCATTCATTCCTATTTGTACCATTTTAAATCGCACAAAGTAACACCCTGCCACTTTCTTTAGCTCCTCTCACCTCGGCTGAATAAAGATCTCTCCGCTCACTCATGCAAAAGCATTACAGTGCACATAAAATCAGGCAAAACAAGATAGCCCTTTGTCACTGTACTTCAGCTCTACTGCAGGCATCCTGATGCCTTGTTATGCCTCAGCACATCATCACATCACCATTAAATCCAAAGAACTCCTCACTGCAGGAGGCCTGTCTGTATGGACAGATGCAGAGACAATGCTCTTCTGCCTTTGTTCTGGGTACTGAGCTTCATGAGAGCGGAAAAAATTACTGGAGAATTTACAATCTTACACCTCTCTCTAAAAAACAACCGCCAAACGCTGTAGCCCGCTCACTCTGACTCAACAATTGAAAATAAGAAACAAGCTATTAATGGCTGATAAGTGCCTCATGTCAGCCTTCAATCTCCTGGACCTCGGACACACACAGCAGCCTGGAAGGCTTACAGCACTTTGTTGGCATTCACATCACTGCTTCTAAGTGATTTCACTCACACCTGACTTTTGCAATTTGTTATCTCAGCTGGTAACAAGTCACAGCTCTGAGGTCTATTTTACATCTCCCTGTGTTCAGTATTTAAGTCCTTAATTGTCCTCACTGTCAACGGCTTGTCTCTTTGTTCACTTTTGCCCCTGTAGCAGTAGAACCTAAGGACAGCAGCACTAGCCAGTCTGTCAGCTTGTCTGTTCATCTGTCAATAGTTTGGTGCACAGCAAGACATCTCGACAACTGCTGGTCAGATTGCTGAATGAATGTTGCACACATGTTGAATCAGCAATGTTCAGCACTTCTCACTCCACTCCGATAACTCTTGGCTTGGCCAAACAAAAAATTCCGCCTTGATAGCAGGGATTTTCTCAGGGGCAGGGAGTGCATGTGACCCAAGTACATTCCTGCAATGGCAATCAACTTGGAGGTAGATTATCTGACTTTCTGAATAAGTTCATGGGTTGTTGGAGTTACTGTGGCCAAAAATGGCCATTTGCTTCCTTCACAGTTGGCTTCAGCTCAGCATTGCCATCCAAGTTTCTCATAACTTTGCCGTCTGTGTACTTTGCACAGTACAACATATTCTCTTTTCTGGGTTATTGTAAACGCATGTTTTGGTTATAAAGAGTTTGGAAGACGGGTGTTTACCAGACAGTGAGAGTATAAGGAAAGGATGCTTGGTTGGATTATTGTAAATGGAATCAGTCCTTTTAGATCTTGAGCCCTAAATCAGCATAAAATATCTCAGCCTCTGCCGCTTTCTGTACCAATTTATGCTATGGAAATGCAATACAAAATCCCTGATTAGATAGTTTGTTATAGTGTACCATCTGGATAGTCAGCCTTGGAAACCGTTTGGAAAAGGGCACATAATACTTGGCAGGTGATTGGATGAGTCACCTGTCTAACACTATCACGGGCTGACTTCAACTGACAAGCCGACTTCTCTCGGGAGAAGAGCCAAAACATCTTTTCCATTGAATGCTGAAAAAATACTCTCGAATTCTGATATAACTGATGCTAGCAACATTTACTAATCTCTTAAGGAGGAAGAGAACAGTGGTTTTAGTAAAATACTCCACATCAGCTTGCTAATATGCTCACAATGACGATGCCAACGCACTGCAGGTATAAAGCACAACATCTTAGTTTAGCATGTTAGCATGTTAATATTTGCTTAATAAAATAAAAGGAATTTTAACCTGACAATGAAACCCATTTTCATCCCAGGTCGTCAGATACTGGCACTTTGCCACGCCCCCTCAGCGTCCCATACAGACGCACACAGCAGCCTTTTGGGTTGTAACAAAGCCTTTCTGCCAGATAGCCTTTTCAATACATGGTTAACATTGTTAAATGGTCAAAGTTAGGCTTAGGCAACAAAACTACTTGGTTAGGTTTAGGAAAAGATCGTGGTTTGGGTTAAAATAACTACTTAATGTTATGTGAATAATGTGACGTAAATGATGCTCAAAACTTATGATAACTCAGTGTTTATGTTTGGTTTCCCACAGGAGACAAACTGATCTTCTGGGTGAAAGTGCTGCGTTTGTTTGAACTACATTATATATAAAACTATCTACATATATTTATTCATACTAAACAGAGAATATACCGTGTTACCATCCACATATTTTCCAACTCAGCGTTATCAGCAGCACCGGGCAGCACAGTTTTATTATGTTTATCAGAATTGTAAATTCTGAGGTTCTGTTAAAAGGTGCCAGTATGTTGTATTTTATGTACTAAAGCTTTACGAGGCCTTTATAGTTAACCTGCCTTGATATATTGCTACTTTACTTCCTTTCTGTAAGTGAAGTCATACCTTGTCGTATCCCTCCAACCCACACATATTTAGCTGCGTGAATAGTGTCTTTCTAAGACCTCCCTCCGTAGAAAAGCAAGTTTCCCTGCCCTTATCAGTGAATCAGACGCTCTCTCACTATTCAATTGCAGATCCAAGACCTGTTTATTCAGCACCGCCTACACTACAACCTACCTTAACACTCCACTGCAGTCTCTCATTGTCCTTCTTCTGTAGACTGCCCTTTCATTGCCTGGTATGCCCACACACTCGTGTGTGGGAGCACACTTACACACTGGCTCTGTTTCTTAGAGATGTTTTTGGTCTTTTTTATTCATTATCAGTGTTTGTATCTGTTTTCGTGTCGCTGGTTTTACATAATAAGGCTTCATAAAACAACTTGTCTTCATTTGTAATCCTTGCATTACAGTAATGTTGGAAAAATCGGAGAAATGCTTCATTTTTATTGTTCAATCTGTCACATTTCAGCTCTAAATATTGATGAAATGTCTTTCCCACAAGGCTTTTCAGAAAGGATGAAGTGAGCTATGTCATGGCCACAGCAAAAAAATCAATTGTGATTCATATCTTAACAGTTAATACTAGTGCTGTCAAGCCTGGGACTAAAGCTTTTTTGTCTGCCTTTTGTAGTATATTGTTAGGTTTGTGCGTCATCAGCTTAAAGGTTAGTAGTCCAGCACGAGAGTGAGATGAGAGGATGGATATCAGTCTCATGAAGTCCAGCTGTGACTAGCCTAGCGTAGCATAAATACTGGAGGCAGGTAGAAATAGCCAGCCTGGTTATTACTCGTCATTTATTGATTCTCTTTATGTTCCAGTTAAACAAAAGAGATATGTTCAAAGCTCATAAATACACATAGCAACAGCTCGAAAATTCACTAATTAGCACGTTGTATCTTGTTTGTTGACTCTTTACACAAACAAACTAACAAACTAAAAAGGAGCGACATGCTGTAAATATTTCTTGACAAGCTACAGTTTATCCATCTGCCTGGATTCTGCGGTTATAGCACAGGTTGCCAGATTTTGGTTTTGGTTATAGGTTATGTATAGGCACAATGGTAACAAACCCGGCAACCTCACTGATAACAAAACTCACTGTGCCCAGCTGCAAGAAATAGTTCCATGACTAAACTTAAAACCACAATAGTTAACCTTATATTGTACTATATATTTCTATATATTATACTAAGCTAAGCTAACCAGGTCCTGACTCCAACCTTCTCATCTCACTTTTCAGAAAGAAACCAAATAATAGTTGTACATGTTTCCCAATATTTCTTTAAAATGGGACGCCATCCACTTTATCATTTCGCATATGTTATTTATTTTGCTGTTGGTGTCAGTGAAGGTGTACCACTCGCCACGTGGAGGTGTTTCTTTATGTGTTGAAACTTCAACTTAATTTCTCTGCCTTTGTCAGCGGATTGTGTGAAACTTTGTGGGCAGAAACACCTGCTGAGGTGATCCTGAAGTCTGCCTTGAAGTCAGGCTGTTATTTGTTACTCAGACTAGTTTACTCTTTGCCTCAAACTGTCGGCCAACTGTTGTTTCAAACCGCAATCAAAGAGTTTTACACAGAAAACATTTCAGCAGTGCCCTGATCTGTGTAAACTCTTTCCATCACATTTTTTCTCATTTGCATGTTGATTTAATTGCTTCAACTTTAATTTAACATTTTGAATGTTTTTTTTTTCCTTTTTCTCCTCCACTTTACTCTTTTGCATGCTCTCATCGTCTCTGTGTGTTGCTGCTTTATGTTTGCTGGAAACAAACAGCTTCCTGTCCCCAGATACAAGAAGGTAAGCCGCTGAGATAAGCTTAAATCCCAAACAGTCCCTACTAATCAATCCTTAGTCTTATCCAGCCAAACCTCCAGACCCAGTGAACCCTGATCGAAACCATCACCAACCCCAACTGACCTCTTCTCAGCTCCCTCTCATTACCATCATAATGTGATTCCATTACTTACCAACAAAATGTCACGTTTCCTGTAAAGTGAATTCTTCGATTGTGTTATTCCCATTCTTCGTTTGTTTGTGCAGGACTGCATATTGTATATAATTACTCACCAAGACAAGTCAACTAATTAAAAGAAAACACTTTGATAACAACTACTGACAAGAGCGTGCAAAGCAATTTAGTGATTGACTGCACAGGACTCCAAGGTCAACTAGGTTACTGATTAATTAAAGGTAAACTCCATCCTTATATACAAGATGTTGTTCAGGTTGTTATTCATAATTAGCTCTTGTGATTTATGATTTTGGTTAACCTTTCTTGTGCTTACATTAGCAGTTTCCAGTCCCAGTTTCTGCATCACCAATAGCCTAGAGTTGTTCAATTAAATTAATGGTTTGTACATTATACTAATTCTACACATGTTGCAAGCATGTACTCTGTCCACACAGGAAGTAACAAATTGAGGGATACTTGAAGGGTATATATGAATTCACCTCTACTAGATGTCCACTAGAGCATCTCAGACCAAAACAATGGCCGCAATGACAAAACCAGTAATTTTATAACTGTGAAACATATTTCAAAAACAAAACTCACCAAAACTGTTTTTGTCAGTGTGACGACCCTCTGAGCAGGTCTCTCCCTCAAAGAGCCTGATGGGTTGAGTCGGGTAATCAACCAGATTAAGTTCACCTGGTCTAGTGGCAAGACTATGCAGGCTGGAGGCAATCAACTGGTCTCCCTCTCTTCCTTGGCTTTCACCCTGTTTGGTTTCTCTTTTAGTTATGTAAAAAAAACAAATTTTTAGTTACAACTCATGTGTGTCTTCCCCTTCTTTGTGCAGCCTTGAGCCGGGTTGTGACGGTCACTCTTTCCAACAGTCATTAACACTTGTTTGGTCAAAATAAACCCCTAATTCACTGAGTTAGATGTGAAAATATTTGCAATTGTATGGCGGGAACATAGCTAGTCCTTGGGAACAAATGCCTCCGTCAGAGTATGTCCACTAAAAGTGCTTGTTTTTGCCAAAGACAGACTCAGATTGTTATCCAAGTTTCTGGCAACATTATAGAAAGGATCCCTACAGAGATTCAGCTTTTATTTAACCAGAAACAGTCATTTGCTGGACCAGAAAAGATTCCATAGATCTCATCATCTTAACATCGCAACTTCAAAATGGACAGAAACAAAATAAAACTCACCAAAACGGTCTTTGTCAGTAAATGGTAAATGGACTGCACTTATTTAGCACCCTTCTAGTCTTCCAACCACTCAAAGCACTTTACACTGAAATGTCACATTCATACACTGACGGCAGAGGCTGCCATGCAAGGTGCCAACTGCTCATCAGTAACTAACTAACCCATTCACACACTCACACACCGATGGCACAGCATCAGAAGCAATTTGGGGTTTAGTATCTTGCCCGAGAACACTTCGACATGCAGAGGGAGGAGCCGGAACCGCCAACCTTCTGATTAGTGGACAAGCCGCTCTACAGGAGCCACAGCACAGCCGCCCTGCTGTTCCAACAATCCAACAATCAGTCTTTGCACTGTTCCAACAATCACTAACTCTGGTTTGGTTGAAGTAAATCCTTAATTTACGGACACAGATGAGAAAAACAGCCATTTCATTTGCTCTCATTTGCACACTGAGGGACTCACATGCATTAAGCCGGACTGGAGAAGTAAACAAGACACAGACAGGCTGAGGTAGCAACACAGAGGACGTCATTCTCTGCTCAGGATACCATGACTCCCACTATATCTCTACAAAAAGCAGTTTTTTTTCTATAATAATGTTTTAAATCTCGTAACCTTTAAACTAAAATTGCTCAGTTTGTTTGTGTGGTGTCTGTGAGCACATCCCTACCTTCAACAGGAAAAATGTAAAAGTGTAAAAGTGTGGCAGTGACTCTGGCACCAACCCAGAAATAATAAAAGTAATAATCCTTGGACAAACATTTGGTATTTGCTATTTGCAAAGCTTTAAAATTTGATTTTGGCAGTGGTTTATCCACTGAAGATTAGTTGATATCTGCTAGCACAAACATCAGAACAAAATTGTAAAGTGCATGTACACTGATTTATCTCACACTGAGTGTAAAAGTAAGGCCTACTGCACTTTCAACATCAAGACATGAGCTGTGTCCCATATTTCTATTTCCATTTTCTACTATATGCTTATACTGTGTGATATACTCTTCATAGTATACCGTTTAGTTAGTAAAGTAGTATTCAAACTGGGTCCTGAGTGGGTTGTAGAGGGTCTCCATCAAAAGGAGGAATATTATATTTAAACGTTTATCACGTTTTTTGGAAGTTGGAACATCAAGAAAAGAAACAGGGCTGGCTGTGATTGATTGTAATTTATAGAGATCATGATCGTTGATTGATGAAGACTTTTTTTTAGCTACCTAAAAATAAAAATACACTTCCTTAAGACAAAAAATACTCTCAAATTGGGTCTAATGTAAAGGTCCTTGACATGAAAATGTTTGGGAACCTCTGTGTTAGTATACGAGAAATGAATATACTTACATTTTTTAGTTACTGCCAAATGTTCAAAGGTTTTGTCCTTTAGTTTTTAACCTTTAAACTTCTTCCTGGAGCTGCTTTCCAGGTATGAGTAGTTTCAGCATCTCCAACGTGTACTGCATTGCGAAGCTCCCATGGTGTCTATCAACAGCATAAATTCAGTTGGGTTTAGTTTGTATACTGAGTAAATTTTTTCCAATGTGGACACAATACATAATAGTGAATAGAGTTGGACACAGACAGTGATGGTGACATTTTATTGTTGGGAGTTACAGCATCAGATGTTACTAATAGTCTTAACTGAAAACACAGCAGGTCTGGTCTATTGAGGCGGCTGTAGAGAAACAGGTGTCTGTATTAAATGGATATGTATGGTCTGATTGTTGAATGTTAATACAAATGCAGCCTTAGAAAGATGACTTTGCTCATTGATTCAGATGGACTTATTTACCACAGCTGTTTTTGATTGGATCTATTGGACACATCTCACCTGAACTCTTTGTCTTTGTTTGCCATGTTTGGCTGCTTACCCTTGAGAATTAATAGAAGAAATGTATGGAGCTGCACTGCAATGACAAGCAACCACTAGCTGCTTAAGTGCTAGTTTAGTTTGTCTCCCAGTCGATAAAAATCACAAATCAGCCTCTATGCTACGTTTTTCCACCAAATCAATGATTCGTTATCAATGGCATGACTGGCATTAAAACTAATGTGTCCCAGCATGACCCTGCGACACAACCCCCAACTCCACCACGCTCTTCTTTAAGCTTTTCGCTCATCAGTGTTGACATTCATAGGTGATGAATGGGACCCATCTGCCGACATCTCCATATTGCCGACTTCCATCACTCCAGGATCGTTTCAAGTAGCCTTGACCTGAGCACCTCGACTGATCCCAGGTGGCCTCTGAAGTATTAACCCCTTCTTTAACATGACTGTGTGTCAGCTCCCTCTGGATGAGATCAATGTCCCCTCTCATCCATCCTGTTATCGTCTTCTCCTGGTGATTGATGCTTCCCCCACCTGCGTGTTACCAGGCCAGTCAGATATGGTAATGAAGACATATGCCCTGGCTGATAAAGAGGCTGATAGCACTGTGGAAAAGAAGCACTCACGTAGGACATATGGCTTAGAAAATACACATGAGGAGTATAAGGTCAAAGTAAACTATGGATTCATGATGGGAGGACAACTGTATGAATGATAATTGTACTTACTGGTTAGGGTTAGATACACTTTTGATGTCTTCACATCAGTTCACAGTTAACGTTCAATAAACATTTTCGTAAAGATATCTTATATATCAGGAAATGTATCTTTAACTTAAACTATAAGCCACAAAATATTAAATCTTTGTAGTTTGTTAGTGCTAGAGGTGTGTTGTACATGAATCTTAATGAATCTTTAATATCAAATCTTCCAGCTGGACTGAGCATACTGAATCTTCATTATGAATGACTGAATGAGTGGCTTTTTGCTCCTTTCAGTGGGGACAAAAGTGCTATTGTCATCTCAGTCGTGATACACGGCATGTTGCTGCCTGGTATAAAGTATACAATTCTACTACGATTTCCAAAAACCACAGATAATATTGTCATGCATTAACTAATTTACAGAATAAGGATAATCCCTACAATTAGAGCCATAAAAAAATGTCCCTCATTGAATCATGTGCGCACATAACTACGTCAAACAAGCATCCAGTTTGGGTAATCATTTTAATTTTCAGCTTAGTTTTTCTTCCAAATAATTTGGGCTATCTTGAGGGTTTATTTATAACCTGGCGGCCTGTTTCCTGCCTTATCTGGCTTCTTTTAAAAAAAAATTGTGCTGTTCCCAGATCTCAGAAATACATTTGGTAGCTACAATGTTATTTTTACCAAGAGGATTCATGGCCAAAACTACAAAAATAAGACACAAGTTGTAAAAACCCGAATTGCCCAATAATTAGTGCTTATGCCGGCCTAGTTTTGTACTGAGCTGAATGAAACAGTTCAAAATAGCAACACACTTAATATACTCAAAATCCAAGACTGAACTAGAGACAGTCAGAAGCAGCACATTTTGGTATCAGCCAGCTTACATCCCAACCCAATAGACATCTGGAAAATGGGCGCCAGGGGCAACAATTGTTATTTTTATTGCATGTAGTGTAACACAGTGGAAGAAAACCGACGCAGGATCTGAGACGCCGCACAATGTCTGGGCAATCATCAACCATTGTTTATTCAGGGAAATTGACTGAGCATTAAGCTCCTTTACAGCAATCCCCTGAGTTCACACTGAAACAGACCATAGTG